CGCTCCACAGCATGTCTCAGGATGAGAAAACATGTCCTAATRTTTGTTCCAAAAGTCTGTTTTAATGAAACAGGGAGTTCATCAATACTACACAAGTTCACCTAACATAAAGAGCTGTGTAAAATAGTTTAAATACATTAGTATCGCTGTGATTTAAGTAGGTTTACTGCATCCTGTTAAACAAGAACATTTTATGTGTTTGCAGGTGTCAGGMTTGGGAACCTCAGGGTCTTTTGCTGGCCCCTTTGAGCCATGACCTTCAGCYTGCACTGGGATGGTTCACAGCCAAGAGTGAAGCAGCTGAGATGATAGTCAGCTCTTCTAAATGTCGGGTCATGTCTTGTTTGACAAAAATTGTGTAATTCCATCTGTTATCTCCCACTGACACCCTGTCTTGTAAAGTMCTGAAATWMTCRAGCACTTTCAGGACCTTGGACAGTTCCTTCAGCCCTGCACACTATCCATATTTTTTGTCATACGATTAAAATTTCAGCTGTAATGTTGCCTTTATGTCCTCTTCACTATTAAAATAATTTTGCTCAGTTTTGACTGAAATCATAAAATGATCTTTGAGCCATTATTAAAAACGACGCTGATAAACTTTGAAACACAGTAATCTGTATTAAACGTCAGGTCATGTCATCTGTGAATTTGCTTTAGTTATAATGAGTATTTTTTTAACTGATGCACACATTACATAAGCCCAGATTAGATGACTACAGACCATGAAATATCAACATTTTCCTCAACAAAAACATATCAAATATTAAATATGATTTAAGTATTATCATGGATTTGTAATCAGAGGTGTTGGAACAATCACTTTTAACTGGAAACACAAAAGTAGTGAGCAAGGAATACTCAACAGAACGGCTACAGGTTCTTCAGGCAGGTCGTACCTGGAGGGGAACCAAAGGCAGACCCAGAACTCTCAAGACTAATTATCCTCTCTGYTCTGGGAACAAGGTGGGTCCTCCAGGAGAAGCTGGAGGGAGTCTTTGAGGAGAGGTGAAGTCTGGGTTTCCTCCCTGGAGCCCAGACCAAATCTGGGATAAATGAAAGAAAAACAACAGAAGAAAAAATGATTATGCTTTTACACTGTGGGTTAAACAGTTATGGGCCAGGAAACTTATCACTTCTGGATTCGTTTACATCTTTAAAGTTTTCACAAACTTACTCTGAACACAATTCTTAGATCTACTCATAGTGAAAAATCAATATGAGGCCATGAATCAGTCCAGTCCAGTTTTCTCTCATTAATATCTTTGTGAACATGTTCAGGTGCAGACTGAAGTGGTCTTTCTGTCCAGTCGTACCTCCCTCTGTAGTCCACATGCCTTCAAACAAACTAGTGCAGCAAATGAGTTGACATGTGGAAGTCTAATGTAGTGACTCATTTATCCATCAAAACCACTAATATGCCCATCTGTTGCTGCCTCAGTTGCTCACATGGTGCCATCTTGTGGACAGATTTAAAGACCTTGGTTTTTACCATAATACTGARGTAGATGTGCACAAACATTTTTCACGTAAGGATCTGAATCACATGAGTAGAACTAGAACTTTACTTTTACAGAAATATTCTGATATGCAACAACCAAACTAACAGGCCAGGCTTTGGGGCAGCACAGCAGTGTAATCAGATATTTAAACATGGTGGAAAACAACAATGTTACATTAAGTTTAAACATAATTAGCAAATAAAATTCTCWAATACTTTAACAACCAAAATTTTAGTTTAAATATGAACAAGTCCCTGGCAGAGTTTAGTCTAAAACTGGTTTAGCTGTGTGAGCTTTGAGCCAGCTGATTCATGCTCCTTGAAATGGACCTCAGCATATTGACTTTATTTTATCTTTTAGCTACCATTCTACTAGTTTTAGATTTTAGCTAATGTTTTGTTAAAATTTGCGTTTAGCTATAGTTCTGCTAATTTTTATCTTCAAGCTCACGTTTTGAAAATTTGAGATACTAAATTCTGATTGGTTGATTTTAGATTTTAGCTACTGCTCTGCTAATTGTAACTTTTAACTATGGTTCTGATTATTTTAGCATCTAACTATTTTTGTCTTTTAYCAAAAATTCTGCTCATTTTAGGTTTAGGCAACAATTTTGCTATTTTTTTAGTCACTGTTTTGCAAAATTTTGATTTTAGCTATAGTTCAGTTATGTTTGGGCTTTCATGCATTGTTTTTCTCATTTTATTTTTTGGACACTGCTTTGATAAATGTAGTTTTTAGCTACTAATTTTATCTTTTAGTTATTGCTCTGCTCAGTTTAGCATTTAGCTACAGTTTTGCTGAGCGTAGCTATAGTTTCATAGCCACACTAAGCAATATAGCTCACATTCTGTGTCTTTGTTCAGCTGTTTCTAATGTGTAAAAATCAAAACATGAAAAGTTAAAAGCCAATATTAAGACACAAAGTTGGGAACATATTTTTGGTTTGGCTTGCAGAGCAGAAAATTAAAATGTTGAACTTTACACGGAGCTGGGATTTCTTTTTACGACTACTGGGGATCATTAAACCACTAAACAGAGAAGTTTGTTTTGAAAAGCTTTTTTTTTCCTATATCTAATTTTAATAGTTCAACATCAAAGAGCTGATTTCTTCTTTACTGAAAGAATAGAGTTCCACCTCATGTGTCTTTAAACATAAAGCCTCTGTGTTTCAGGTTTATAGCAGGAGCAACACTTGCAGACTGAGATGTTTTATTGTGGTTTTAAAGGTAAATAATGTTCATCAGGCTGAGGCTCAGTAAAATATTTATAATGAGAAAAAAATCTGGGACTAAGATGCTCCCTCTGCAGGCCAGACAGTCTTCCTGTGGACTCTGGTCCTGAAATATTTCAGGCTGTGTCTCAATTCAGGGGCTGGGTCCTCATGAGTGCGCATTTGTCGTATTCATGAGTTCTGAGCTTTGGGCTGAAGATGGAGCCAGAGACTTAAAGGAGGCCGGTCCTTCAGCTTTCCTCATCGGACATGTTTAACTGCTGGTTATATCACAAATTACATTATTACGTTTGCTGCTTTCCTGTTTTAGGTAAAGTATGACACCAAAGTAATTTATTCTGAAAATGAAGATCTTTGCAATGTTTGACTGGAGGAATCCTGAAATAAACCATCAACCTCTGCATGATAATCAGAGGGCTAACGCTCATCCAGACCACTGAGAACCACCCCAGCTCTTCACTGTATGTTTTATCTGAAGCACTCCTCTAACAGACACATGCTGGTCCTCGAGGTCCACAATCCTGCATGTTTTACTGGTTTCTCTGAAAGACTCCAACTGATGCTCATAACGCTGTTTACACAAAATCATTTTTTTTTTTAAATTTACCATTAACCATTGAAGTCAACTCTGTTTTCTGTTCGTAAAATATTTCAGGACCCACTGGATGAATTTTAATGCAGATGTCAGAAAAMAAGTAACTTATTAACTGTTGGGGTTAAAACAAATTCAAGATGGCCACCGCCGCAAGCTGACCTTTGTGAAAAAATCTATAACAGACAGTTTTATAGATGCTGAGTTAAAGTTTGGTGTGGCTCCAGAAAGTAATCACTGGTAAAACATCGACACCTGACACAAATCAAGATGACCAGCTAATCCTCATTAACCAAACTTGAACATAATTATCATTTTATACTTCAGTAAGTTTAAGTGTACATGCCCGCAAAATAAARACAGTATTAAAACAATGGAGAAATAATATTCTCATGTTTAAAATGTAATAAATGAGAATTTGAACAAGCATCTACAGTATTATTATTTGTCCTCTGCTACTGATCAGCTAACAACAATGGATAATGAACYACTGCATATTTTAAGCATTCTGAAGGAAAATGATAAACAGTTAATATCGTTCCTGCTCTAGCCCTCAGTTTGGAGACAAAGAGTTTAATTCTGATCAGGCTGATGAGTAATTGGTCAGTCCAACTGTGGCCTAGACCAAAATGGACTATTATTGTTTTAAAATAACTCAAGTCTGTAGCATTTTAAGCTGCATCTGATTTCATGTTTATTAGAAAAGGTAAAGGCTGTGGTGTGGAAGCAACTGGATTTCTTCCTTTKTTTTTATTTTTTGTGTTATAGTTTAAATAACTATTCTACTTGTAAAAACTGTATTTGCAATATATCAACCATCAGTGAGAGGAAGTGTTCAGATCATAGGAACATAGCTTTCCAAATATGACCATTTCTTTATTAGATAGTTCTTTTTGTAGTGGAGACATTACTGTATGTAGTATTTGTCAAATAATTCCTGTATAGTCAGAAAAAAAAACCAATACATGCTCATCACCAGCTGTCTTGTTATACCAGTGTTTAGAACTGAAATCATCTTGTTAGAAAAAAAGTAAGTTATTGTTGTTTTGGTCAAATCTTTTTAAAAAAAACAAGATGCAGCATCTTAAACAGTGAACTCAAAGTACGTGCTGGGGATGACTCTCAGTTACCACACCACACTTTAGCTCGATATCTGTAAAAACGAGACATGTTGCGGGCAGACAAACATGGTTACCACCCTCCTTTTCTGTTTTGCAGCAGCGAGTGCTGAAAAATGCGTGGTAAAACTTTGCAAAGCGCAGCAATACTGGTTTTGAAAAGACATTTATTTATTTTTTACAAGGCTGAGGCGAGGAAGGAAAAAAGGAAATAAAAGCAAAAGAAACATCTCTTTTCACTGTAGAGGAGAGGAATGGCAGGTAAGTGAAAGAAACCCCTTCTTTGAGACAGACTTCTTTTCTGCCATGACAGAAGATGGATGGGTTTTTGGGGGGGTAATGAGGAGAGAGAGGCAGACATTTCCATCATACCCTGCACCCCCACTCCATCTCTGGGGAGCAGGGGATTATGGAAATGTTAAAAAAATGCAAGAGAGCAGGAAACTGACGGATGGAAGAGGAGAGAGGGAGGAGAGAGTGCTGGTGGTGGTGGTGGTGGGGGGAGGCGGTGCGATGCTATTGGCTGCCGTTTGAAACATCAACAGTGGTGGAAATATTTCTCTAGCAGTCTAAGAAGCACGCAGAGAGGCAGACAGAGACAGAAGACTCAGGAAAAAAATTGAAAATCCTTTGAAATTTTTTTTCAAAAGAGGAGTGAGGGTGTGCAGGCAGAGTGATGAGCAGCAGCTGCTTCCTTTAGGTTATGGCTCTCCAGGACTGTGGACACATCTCACCTCACTACAGGGGTGTTTTTAGAACAACTGCGTGTCAACATGTAGATGCTCTTCAGGGCTCTGCTTAAATCAGCCCCCCACCCCCCACCCCTTCTTGGTTTGTTTTCCCGCCAGAACCAAACTGTTTCCTGCGTGTCGGAGCGATTTCACATTTTTAATTTTTGCTGTTGTCGTTTGCTTGGAGAGACGTGAGGAATGAGAGGCAGAGCAGATGATCCTGACATGGTGCCGGCCCACGCTGACAGGAACCAGGACGGAGTGGARGGCTCTGACCCGACCGGCTGCAGGTATCCTCTGCTCGAGGTTAAGGTCAGCTAAGATCCAGCGACTAAGCTCCTCTGGCTTAGGTGCTCACTTTCAACTTACCTGAACTAAGTGGGTGATTTGTTTTTTTTTTTACTTTATTTTGCTGAATCACAAGGAATTTGCTTTGTCAGGATATAGAACAAAGCAATACCTCGAAGTTTAAATATAAACAAAGTGTAAATAAAACCTAACCTACCAACTGTGTTTGTCAAAGTGTTAAAAGTGATTTGATGAGCGTTTTGTTCGTGGCGTGTTGGACTCAGAGCAACAGATGAACACTAAGCCATAAAACTACTCAAGCCATAACCACCCTTGTCAGCAGTGAATCCGAACTGTTTGAGGCAATCCCACTAAACCCTGAGACAGTTTACCTCGACAGACAGATGTCGGTTCTGTCCTGACGGTGGGGAGGAGGAGACCGCCGCTTCTTGTTTGTGAGGGACTGAAAGCAGACTCCTGAACGCTTCCTGCAGCCATCCTGCTGTCAGCTGAACAAAGGCAGAGCTCCAGTGGAGGCAGCTCAGCCTCGGCTCGTCACTGATCGTCACTTCCACAACTCGCCTGGGCYCAACACACTCAGCCTGCACCTGAAGTGGGAAACAGACACTTAACCCTTGACAAAAAAACAAAAACAAAGAAAGGTTAAAGAAGCGCCCCCTCCCTTTCCCCTACTCCCCTCCTCTCAGCCCGTCTGGTCATCAAGCTGACCGACGCAGCCATGGCGTTCACCTTCGCGGCCTTCTGCTACATGCTCACCTTGGTCCTGTGTGCTGGTCTCATCTTCTTTGTCATCTGGCAGGTGAGTGTACACACACACTCACCTACACGACAACACAACACACACACTGTTTACGGTTAATTACAGGGAAAAAATGTCTGTTGAATTTGACAGTGTAACCACGCCACAAGCCAACTTCTCCTGGCTGCCAAGGTTGAATTTTCAATGCCTGCCTGTAAAATTTACAACATTTGGATCAGTGGGGCAGAAAAAAAAATGCATGAATCCTTATTTGCAAATGCAGAAATTTTCTAAAAAATATTTTAAAAGGCATCTAATGATACTACCAGACTCTTAAGCATACCATGTATCATGATACACTTTATATTTTTATGTTCTTTTGTGGAAAGCTGCTGACAAAACACATATGTAAAAAAACATTCCCTGATAGCTTTTTTTATAAAGACAGGGAGATAAAAACAAAATGAGTGAAACAGGCATCATGCAAAAACATCATAATTTAAACTATAAATGGTAAGTTTCTGGTCATCACTTGTTTATTTGTCTACAGTGTTMTATACAATAGATACAGCAGGTTAAAAAGAAGTCTCAGTTTTAGCTCTGAAGAGAAAAGTCTCAGCTCGTACACAAAGGAAGTGAATCGTTTGGGTGAGTCTAATCTTTTCAGAGAAATGTGTCCAAAAACTCAAGGTCCTACAGCAGAGAGAGACAGACTGGGTGGAAAAAAGATGAAAGAAAATCTACATTTTGATGTTGAAATTATAGCGGGTAAAATAAGTACTGAACACGTCACCATTTTTCTCAGTAAATATATTACTAGAGGTGCTAATGACATGAAATTTTCACCAGATGTTGGTA